TGGACAAGACAGTGATGATAGTCTGTTACTGTTTACATGGATGATTTCCAAGCAACAATAAACACGTGCATATAAGCCGCTGCAGTTCATGACGTCACACATGACCATGCGAGAGTGAATTCAAGAAGTATAAAAGTATAGGAAGCCGTTGGTATAAGTATATATATATATATATATATATATATATATATATATATCCAGGTACAAAACACAACTGCAATTATGAGAAACACAGCTACAATTATGTAGCAATTTTGACATATTTTTCGGTGTAATATCCTAAAATGTATATATATATATATATATATATATATATATATATTTATTTATTTATCTTATGCAGTGTTACATTAGAACATGCACATATCCACTACAAAACTGTACAATTTTGTTTCAATGTCAAAAAGGAAAAACCTTTTTTTAAACAGCTCATCAGGTGGGGAATCATGGTGTTACTAAAAACTTTTATTCAGAAATACAGTTATTGAAGCAAATATCCTCCACTTCTGTTCTTTGGAAATTTACATGTAGAGATGGAAGGGAATCTAATTCATTAAGTAGTCCCGGGTGAATGAAAGGAAGGGGAAAAGAACAATGGGGAAAGGGGAAAGAAAAGGAAGAGGAAAATAAAATAAAGAGGCCATAGGAAGAGGAGAAAGTGATAAGTGCTAAGAGGAGATAAAATCTGGTCACTGAATTCCACATAAGATAAATAAATATTTACAGCTCTGTTTTAAATAAATATTTACAGCTCTGTTTTAAAAAATTAATGTTCTGAATGCTGTAATCTTACTGCTCGTTCTTCTATACTTTGATATATATATATATATATATATATATATATATATATATATATATATATATATGTATATGTCTGCTTCAGAATTATTTTAATAATAAGCAATTTTTTTAGTAAGTGGTGCTTGTTAGCCACCACACTTAACCTGCTTTTGATTTGGATGCATATTCTTTTTAAAAATAGATTATGTCTTCAATATCTGTCTTGTGATTATTAAATTTTCTTAGAGCTCTTTCCTCATTATATGTCCTAGAAATTCCAACTGTCTCTTCCTTTTGTTGCTAAAGTCTCTAGAATTTCATCATTGCTGACATAATTGGTTCATAGTATTCTCAGCATCCTTCTGTAGAACCATGTTTTAGTATATTCAAAATAATCTACTATATTTGATAGCTTAATAAAACATGGAGACATTCTCACCCACACAGTTATCAGCATTGATATATAGTCTAAGGACTATTTTATATGTTTATTATCAAAGCTTTCACATATCATCATCATTTGGTTATCGACATCTGGATTTCCGCCCCTTTTTATCCCATATCAATTGCATTTGATGGAATATAATATTATATATATATATATATATATATATATATATATATATATGTCTGCTTCAGAATTATTTTAATAATAAGCAATTTTTTTAGTAAGTGGTGCTTGTTAACCACCACACTTAACCTGCTTTTGATTTGGATGCATATTCTTTTTAAAAATAGATTATGCAGATAGCATAATGGTCAGCTACATGGAAAGTGGAGTGGGTCTAGTCTGTTTTATTCACTTTCTCACAACTTCATTTTGTTTTTTGCCTTGAAAAAGTCCACATTGGACAAAACACATCAGCTTATAATAGTTTTCCTATTGTCTTTTACCTTTATAAATATTGTTTTTTTCTACAGGTTAACTCTGAGAAGTTTTTCACACACACACACACACATATATATATATATATATATATATATATATATATATATATATATTGTGTGCATTTGTGTGTCGGAATAAGGACAAAAGGAAAACTTATCCTAGCCAAAGTGGCTTGTCTTCTGATGGGCCTCACAAAAGCAAATGCAAAGATTACACTTTGCAACAAGCACAGAAAAAAGCAAAAATGCCATTTTTCAGTCTTTTCAACATAAGAAGGCTTATAAATACAAATCAGGCGAACTGAAAAATCTTTTTTCAGCATCTCTTCTCCTTCATGTGCATTTGTAGTTTTATTAAGAAAAAGATCAGTTTAGTCCAATGGAGTCCCAAAGGATGAAATCCATCACAATGTTTTCTACTTTGACATAGTTTTTTCCTAAAATATATATTGTAATAACATGGAGGCAGCAGAATCTCATGGATGTATAAGGTGTGTCCCATTCAACTAATTTAAAAAAAATATAGACAAAATAACTTTTTTTTTGTTTTAACAGACATGCTTTTGGAAACAGCAACATTACCACTACGAGTCAATATTTAAACCACAGTACATGCCAGATATTTCACTCTTTCTTAATCTCCGATGACACGCCCTAAATAAAAATCACGGCATTCTGCCAAGGTTTTTTTGACTATCATTCTTCTTCAGATGTTGGCTTACAGCCATATCACATTGAAACCCCTGTTCTTGTACAGTCTCCTAAGTTAAGCAGCATCAAGCCAGCTCAGTACTTAAATGGGTAACCGCATGAGAATACCAGGTGCTGTAAGCTTGGATGTGCAGGTGGTAAAATAGATAACAGCTTAGAATTGGATATCAGAGAGCCGAGTTCCAATTGCAGTGGGGTTCAATATATTCACTTTCATCCAAATAGCCTTCAGAAAGGCATGAAACCACCTCTTGTCAACCCAGCTATGGGATAATTAGTAGGAATTGTATCAGTAAATAATTATTATCTCCCAAAACAAATTCTCACAATCTAAAACTATTTTCTGGAGTTAAATGACCTGAAAATGATTGATAAGGTGTAAAAATCAAATCAGTCACCACTATAAGTCAGTATGTAAATTTTAGTACATGCCAGATTGCTCACTCTTTCCCAATCTCCCTGAGGTGTCGTAAGTAAAACTCACAGAACTCTGACAAAATCTCTCCAACAGATGTCAATCATTTTGAATATTTTGTAAACTATTTGTATATACACTGCACACACACACACACACACACACACACACACACACACACACACACACACACACACACACACAAGTTAAACATTTTGTGTGAAATATTATTCAATAATAGAGACAAAAATTAGTTATGTGCATCAACAATTCACAGACGCAATCACTAGGTGGGCTTGGAGAGGTCTGGCTTACACAGAAAATTAATTCAACTTTTTTTATTTTTTATTAATGTTCACTCACAAGAGCCACTCAAGACAGAGGGTTATTATGTGTTGTTATCTGGGCATAAGAAAAGTTAAGAAATGCAGTTCATGAGGCTATGAAGGAATGATAATGGCTAACCCTCAGCTTAAAGAAGTGTAGGGATCAGGAAAACATCTTACCAGGTGTTTGTTTCACAAAGTAGCAATTCTTTGGAAGAAGCTGTTCGAATTGAACTTATTTTTTACTAATTGATTACGAAAGGAATGAGGATTTATATATCCTTGTGTACAGGGCATAGCAGGTCCCAGCTGTAAAGTTTAGGGCTGGTAGAACAAAGGAATGTAATTTGTCAAAACACTTTCCATGGAAATAGAGATAGAGCAGTGAGAGGCTTGCAATGTTTTGCCTGGGAAAAAATGTGTTGTATCCTGAAAAATAATTCATCACCCACAAGGCCACATAGATGCTTTTGAATTCTATAAAGACAGGCAAATAAGAACTGGGGTGCTCTAGCTCAGATATTGCAGCAGTACTCAATTTACAACATGATCTGTCTCTTGTAGAGCAGAGATAGATATATTGATTGGTAGATAGATGGAAACAGACTGAGATAGATAGATAGATAGATAGATAGATAGTGTTGTGTATGATACACCTAATTTACATAAGTGGAGTACCGACCATATAAATATGGGTTGGTACCGGAAGATGACGGAAGATTAAGAGATCGAATCCAGAGACTCTGCCCGACTGCGACTTAGTCAACCCATTCTGCAGGAACAGTCTTCCCAAGAATATACCAAAACTACCTGTAAATATTGTGTACCTTTTTTCATTGTTTCAATACATTTTGTTACGTACATTTTGTGTTGTATTATTATTATTCCATGCTTATTCAAGCTTCAACAGATAGATAGATAGATGAAAACATAGACAGATGAAAACAGACTCAGCAAGATATATAGATAGATATAAACAGACTGAGACAAAATGATAAAGTAGAGATAAAAGCAAGATCAGTAAGCAAATAATAAATAGAAACACTTTCTTTATGTAATTTTAATTCCTTAAATACAAACATTGACAAAGATATCACAAACAACTGATTTGGTTCAAACATCAAATTTGACACAAGCAAACATTGGATATCAATGAAGACAAAGGCGATGACAACAACAAAAACAACAACCATCAAGAACAGGTGGACTGGCTTTGTTTGACTTTGGTTCTTTTTTGGGGAGGGGTTTGTTTTTGCTGTGTCATTGTCATTTGTTGTTCGTACCATTTTTGCCATTGATGGATAAGTTAATTTTGAGTTTCATGGAATTGTCTCTCTCCATGTGCGTCTTGCTGGTGCAGCTGTCGATCGCGATTCTTTTCCCTACCGATTCGATTCCATAAGTCATCCATACTTTTACCCTGTGTCTCCACTTGTGCAACACCACTCTCCACCCCTGTTGTGACCCACCGCATGCTGTGGCATCAGTGTCATTGGAGTTGGAAAGAGCAGAAGAATTTATGTTCTTCTCGTCATTGTTTTGTTTTTGTTTTGTTCTTTCTCGACTGTCGAAGTCGATCTAGAAACATGACCAGAACTCTGACACTTCTGTCAGAAAATGGAAAGCATTGCCCAAAGACAGCTATCTTCAGAAAACCAAAAACAACAAAAACAACAAAAAGGAAAAATACAAAGATACAGATAAGGGAAAACTTGCACCATTTGGGTGATGTAGCTTCCTTACATGCACACACACACACACACACACACACACACACACATATATATATATTTATGTATACACAATTTACTATTTACATCTACAAACTCTCTATCCATGATATTGAATACTATCCACCTATAAATATAGCAAATTTTAAGCAATACAGCTATACACACACACATACACACATTTCTATTGTTTAAAATTTACTATATTTATGCAGTAATGATTCCTCTATGCACAATGTATATAGATAGATATGAACAGATTGAGATAGATTATCTGTCTCAGTCTGTTCATATCTATTTATCTCTGCTCATATCTATCTATCTATCTCAGTTTGCTATCATCTATCTATCTATCTATCTATCTATCTATCTATCTATCTATCTATCTAAGTATATAGACATATTGGGTGTATTTTTGCTTCATATAGTTTTTGCTTCATAGTTTTCCATATAAGGATGTCAGGTTAAAGGCCAATGAAATACCTTTTGTCATGTTTTATTTCTTTATCTTTTTTTCTTTTGAAACATTTTCCTTTTTTTTTTTTGTTTGTTTGTTTGGGTTTTATGGCATATCAACCACTGTGAGTTATTTAACGCCAAATCCAGTTTATTTGAATTTTAAATGCCTATTTTGTATGGAATAAAAAACGTATAGTTGGCAACATTATTGTTTCAAAAACTTATAGCTGGCAACATTATTGTTTCAAAAACGTACAGCTGGCAACATTATTTTTTACAAAAAACGTATAGCTGGCAACATTATGGTTTCAAAAACGTATAGCTTTCCTGTTTTTCTGTGATCATTTGAATAGAAATTATTCAATGTTAATGCAAAACACATATAAACACAATTATCATTTAAAATTCCTTAGTAATATCCATGAAAGTATTCAGACATAAGACAATTTCTGTTCAAATTTTCACCAAAAACCAAGAAAAAGGTCTGAAAAATAGAAAAAATAAACAAAACAATCTTAACAAATAACCTTTGTTGACATCTAAATAAGCTATTTATATTAGCTGATTTGTTAATTCTCTTAGGACTTTCAAATATTTCCATTCTTGAAGGAATTACTTCTTTTCCACATCAACATACGACTATAAAAATGCTAAAAAAATTAAAAGAAAAGTTTTAAATTCATAACCTCCTGTTATTTAAAATATATAATACATATAATTATCCTATACTAAAATAATTTAAATATTAACTGAAAAAATATTTCAACAACATTTACTAATTTTCATCTTAAATTACGTCATTTAGCATCTTCCATAATTTATCCAGACTTTTCAGTTAACCTGATAAATATTTATGAGCATCTCTTAAATTAAAAAAAATTTTGAAATACTAATAATATTTTTATTTTGTTTATATGTACTTGTTGCAAAATAAAATCCTTACATTTGTCTGGATTAAGTTCATCAGAAGACAAAACGCGTCTGCCAAGAAAATGTTTTTTCTTTGTCTTTATTTATGGACTCTCCCATTGTATTTGATGTATGAGGGTCGAGCATCTCAGTTCCTAGGAACCAGCAGTCAGACACCAGCACATATGATTTGGTTATAATGGTGAAGATTTTGTGCAGAACCAACCACACTTTTTGAAGGGCTGAATACAGAGACCTGGTGCACTACATGCCACAATTTCCCCAAACGACACTCTGCAGGTTTTGAATTCAGAGTTGTCCTTCTCCTAGACCAGTTGCCATCCAAATCTATAGAACCCATAGCTGGGATGGGGAGAAGAAGAGAATTCATACCTTTCCCAAGAGTATTAGCACATAAGTGAATGTAATGGATTCGACTGGAATTTGAACTCGGCTCTTCAATTCCTCAATGCAAGCCACAATCCACTACAACCTGTGCCTCCATATATATATATATATATATATATATATATATATACACATATATATGAGGGAGTAGATTACCACAACAGGGACAGAATAAGCAGCGCAGCAAAAGCAGCAGCCAGAAATTTTATTAGCAACTGGTCTCAGAATATATCCTCTTGTTCAAAGTCATCCAAAATGGTTCACACAGGCTGATTTTCAAGATAAACAAAAAGTAAAAGGAAGCCATTGACTTGTTAAAAATTGAGATTGTATTGATTGGAGACAATTCTTCGTTCTTGCTGGATGATGTGCATCAATCCTGATGCACACAGACAATATTTTATCAGTTGATTTCTGTAGCTGAAGTTTTCATATCCGGCTGCAGACTCAGTCACTCCACCTGTTATGTATGTCTGTATTTGGTGCATGACCGAGTGGCTGGAATGTTTGATTTCCAACCATGAGACCTGGTTTCTAATCTCACCATCTTAGGGAAGTGATCCCTGTATGTGCCCTCCCCCCTTTGGAAAGCCCCTGAAAACCAAATGCAAGTCTTGTGAGCCCTATTGGGTAGGTGAGTTTGAATGTAATGACATTGTTCAAATGCTGATCATGGCAGAATATATTCTCTCACCAGAAACTCTATCTCAGGTATGCCCAGCATAGTTGTAGTATAAACTACAAATGGACTCTGTGGATGTTGAACAAACACAAAATAATCCAATGCAACTTGTTCCTCCAACATAGAAATTTTACGCATAGGCATTGCTTGTTGTTACAGAATGCAGAGTCCAGGCCTCGATGGTCAGTGATT